TGTCCACATCTAAATCTCTCATGAAACCTTTCCAAAATGGTGTGGACACATTCACAAAACACTTCACTTTAAACCTCTCTTCTTCTTCTTTTGTTTTCTCATTGTCGCTACTTCGAATCCAACACAGAAAAGACGAATCAATCAATCACTGTGATTAAAAAGCAACAAAGAGTTTCTTCAGTTTCTTATAAATTCCATGAAAGTTCATTTCTTTCTTTATCATCCTCTCTCTCTCCTTTCTTCCCAATTTTCAGTTATGGCTTGTATAAACTGCAAGAATTGTGATTTTTCTTTAGCTTCATCGCCGTCGACGGTGATGATTCCTGCCGGAGAAGACGAGGAGACCGTCGACGAGTTTCCTTTCCAGAGGCTTTTCCCGGTTTACGCTAAAGGAGCTCTCAAGCCCGAACCGGTTTTGTTGGATTTTATCAATTCTGGTTATGACCCAATTTGGGAGGCTATAAGAGAAGAAGCTAAGCTTGAGGTTTTCTCTCCATATACATTAACTTCGATTCCACAAAAACAGAAACTTTGATCACTAAATGTGATATCTTTCTGTTTAACTTACTTAACAAAACCTTTTAGTTTGAGGAACAGTGTTTGTGTGTTTATGTTCCTACTATATAATGGTGAATGTTGTTGCTGTGTTTATTAACAGGCAGAAAAGGAACCGATTTTGAGTAGCTTCTTGTATGCTAGTATCTTGTCACATGACTGTTTAGAGCAAGCATTGGGTTTTGTTCTTGCTAACCGTCTCCAAAGCCCTACCTTGTTAGCAACTCAACTCATGGATATATTTTGCAATGTTATAGTACATGACAGATGTATTCAAAGCTCGATTCGCCTTGATCTTCAGGTAAAAACGCTTATGATCTTTGGTTGTTTCAGACAGTATTGTCTGATAATTTGAATGTAATGTATGTTTGTTGTAGGCATTCAAAGACAGAGATCCTGCTTGTCTATCGTATAGTTCAGCTATTTTACATCTGAAGGTATATACTTCTTCTTTAACCAATTATTCAACAATTGCGAAGCGAGTTTTCATGTGCAATTTTTACTAGAACAGTTAGTTCCACAGGGATATCTTGCACTGCAGGCGTATAGAGTTGCACATAACTTGTGGAAGCAAGGAAGACAACTATTAGCATTGGCATTGCAAAGCCGAGTAAGCGAGGTAGTGTAGATTCGACAGCTTCTTTGGTTGTTGTTATAGTCTTGATGTACAATCTCTGATCCATGTCAATGGTTTCACTCAGGTTTTTGGAATCGATATTCACCCGGGTAAGTGTTTAGTTTCAGATCTTGCTTATGCTTTTATATTTCTCATATGAATAACTTTGTGTTTCTTGCTTAGCTGCAAGAATTGGGAAGGGGATACTGTTGGATCATGGAACCGGTGTAGTCATAGGTGAGACTGCTGTGATAGGTGACAATGTCTCAATTTTGCATGTACAGATCTCTTCTCTGAATTTTGTTTCTTGAAAAATATCGAGAATTTTCGATGTTTCTGTAATGCAAGCCTGTGTTTTCATGTCAAAGGGTGTGACATTAGGAGGGACTGGGAAGAAAACCGGTGACCGACATCCAAATATAGGCGATGGTGCTCTTCTTGGAGCATGTGTGACTATACTCGGTAGCATTAGGATAGGCACAGGAGCGATGGTAGCTGCCGGTTCTCTTGTGTTAAAGGACGTTCCTTCGTATAGGTATGAAAAACTGAAATTTATCTGAAAATTATCCTAGAGTTGCTCGGTTTGAACATCTCTCAAATGGACATTTTCTTTAATGGTTTCTGAAGCATGGTGGCTGGAAACCCGGCAAAACTGATTGGATTTGTCGATGAGCAAGATCCGTCTTTGACAATTGAACATGGTGAGTCTTGATTCTGACATAGTATACTCTGGTTTTGATCTCTATTGCTTAGGTTTTAGTAGTGATATAGCTAGTTGACTGAATATGCAGATGCTACCACAGAGTTCTTTCGAAATGTAGCTGTTGCTTACAGAGAGACAATACCAAATGGTAACTTACTTTCTTACAGTGAATGCTATATCAGAGTTTAGTTTTGGATCTAGATTGAGTTTTGCATCTTGTAAAAATCGAATCTTCGGTTTCAGGAGTTGCAGAGAAAGGAGACATTAAAAAGAGAATATGAGATCATCAAATTCATCATCATCACTACAAATAAGAAAGCTCTTTGTTGTTTTAACAAACCTGATTTCCAATTGATGGAGAAAGATTTGATACATTGCTGATAAGCATTAATACTTGAAACAGAACCAAATCCTAAGCATTCAAGCTTATCACCCAAACAAACATAACCAAAATGCAAAAAGAGAAAAGAAAACTTAAAGACTACTCGATCCGAATAACTTTGTAATGTAATCAAGCATGTTTTGCTTGGAAATCTTTCATGAAAGCAACAAGCTTTTCAACACCAGCCAAAGGCATTGCATTGTAAATAGAAGCTCTCATACCTCCCACTGATCTATGACCTTTAAGCTGCACCATCTTCTCCTTCGTGGCTTCTTTGATGAACTCGGCTTCTAATTCAGATTTCTCCAATGTGAAAGGCACATTCATCAAAGACCTCACTGATTTCTCAACAGGACATTTGAAAAAGCCTTTGCTTTCTTCAATGGCATTGTAAAGCAAATCAGCTTTCCTCTGATTCTTCTTCTCAACTTCTTTCAATCCACCTTGTTCCAACAAATCTTCAAACACAAGACCACACATGTAAATCCCAAAACAAGGAGGCGTATTGTACAACGAGCTGTTTTCGTCGTGGATCTTGTAATCAAGCATCACAGGAGTGATATCTCGAGCATTTCCAATCAAATCTTTACGAATGATCACAATTGTAACACCTGAAGGACCAACATTCTTCTGTGCACCACCATAAATCACACCGAATTTTGACACATCAACTGGTTTCGAACAGAAGTTAGAAGACATATCAGCAACCAAGAACCCATTAGGGTTTTTAGGAACAGGGTAATCTTTGAATTCAACACCATGGATAGTTTCATTGGCGCATATATGCAAATACTTGGCGTGCATACTCTGCTCCAACTCATCAAAACATGGAACTTTCGTGTATTTCTCAGATTTACCAGACCAAATCACATTGGTCTTGCAATATTTCTTCGCTTCTTTCACAGCTTTGTCTCCCCACGAACCAGTAACAACGAAATCGACTGTATCTTCAGACTTGCAGAGATTGAGAGGTAAAGCAGCGAATTGAGTCGTTGCACCTCCTTGTAAGAACAAAACGGAATATTCCGATGGAATCTCCAGTAGATTCCGAAGATCCGATTCAGCTTTCTGTATAATCGAGAGAAACTCTTTCCCTCTATGACTCATCTCCATCACACTCATGCCGGATCCACGCCAGTTGTATAGATCCGCCTGCGCTTTGAGGAGAACGTTCTCCGGCAAAGTGGCCGGACCCGCCGCGAAGTTAAAGACGCGTTCTTGGGATCCGACGGAGCCGGATCTAGCTCCGTCTTGAACATGGGTCGTTGCGGCGACGCATTTAACCGCGACTGGCTTGGATTTTCCGGCGAGATTGACGGTGGTTGGTTTGTTGAGGTGGAGAAGAGATTGAGAAGTGGATTTGGGTTTTAGAGTAGGGACCTGAGTATTGTTTCCGACAAGGAAAGAGTTCGCCGACGCCGCCATGATCGTGAGATTTTTAAAGTTCGCTCTTTTAAGAGAAGATCTGAAAAAACAGAGTTTGGTGGGAGAGAGATATATAAACAGATTTGTAAAACGACAACGTTTTTGTGTGTTAGGTGTACTAGTTTTGGCTGCTCTCTTGTGTTTAATGTGCATCATTCTAACTTTTCTTAGTCATATTCATATTTTAAGATTCTGTTCAATTACAAAGATCTGTGAATTTTCCATGAAATAGTAATAGTAAGTATAAGAATGATAATCACTATCAAAGATTTGATTAGAGGACTTTTATTGCTGAGATATCAATAAAGAAGAAAAAGAGTTGAAATTACATATCAAATTAAGAGGAAATTTATGAATTTTTTTTTGTTATTCTGTTAACTAAAATATGAGTGGGAAAAATGTAAGTTGCTATACACAAACTGTAGTATTTTTCCACTCTTTGTTATAGCTTTTGAGAATCTGACACAAGAAAGTGTGCAGCTTCATATTTTTTGGCTATGTATCCGAATTTAGAGGAGCTGTATTTTCTATGTACTCCTGTTAGTTTATCAGTCGCAGCCTTGTGATGCAAACTCACCATTCTTCTACAACATTCTCTGCAAAAAACAAAGCGCAAATTTCGATTAGAAATAATCGGTCTTTTAGTTACAAAGATCAGTCTTTTAAAGGTACAAGATAGTTACAGGAGTTGGTTTTCTGAGTAGTGACTGTGGAATTCACAAGTGCTGTTCCATTCACTGAAGCCATGGATTGTACATTGAGCTGTGTACACCGCTGTGGCAGCTAGTAACGATGGCGGATATCGAAGCATTTCGTAGTCTACTAGAGCAAGTTCGATCAAGAAAGACGCCAAATTCTCAAGCTGTTTCAGTAAAACAAAGATAGTTGTAGTAATTCATTAGTGCTTTGATGATTGTAATGTAAATTCACAAGCCATTGATGATAGATTTTTACCTTCTTTTCTGATTGAGCTGCCTTTAGGAATCTTTTCAAGAAAGGGTATTGCGTCGGTAACGATACATTGAATTGCAATGTATCAAGCATAATCTTCTCCTGCAAACAGAGATTGTTTTTTTAATGTCAGATACAATGCAAACTCTTGTATTGGAAACAGAACAAAGGAAGAAATCAAGTCTTGTGGTTATACCATTTCTAAAACATCGTTCTTCGTATAAGCTTTGTCCGAAATGACAACTAAATCTTGGACAATTGGTACCGAAATCTCTTCGTACTTGCAAGCTAGGAGCAATGCAACTAAACCAACAAGCTGAAGCTTTTTTCTTACAACAGCTTGCTTTGATAAGAATCTATCTATCAGATTCACTGTTAGAAACAATGTCTCATTCATTAGCTCAAATTTGTCATGTACCTACAACAACATTCAATAACCCAAATTAGCCTCTACATATATCAACAAATCTATTACCATTGAGATTCAAAGTAAAGATCTTCTTTGAATATATAATTTACCTCGATGAGCCAATCGATAAGTATTGCTCTCATTTTGTCGGTTATATCAAACTGTTGGGACATGTAATCTTGTGGAACACAACTAAATCTCTGCAAGATTAACCAAGAAACTGTCTCAGATTAAATTCATTTTCTTGCTTCATCAGAGAGTTTTAAAAAACCAATGAGATCGTTACCTCGATTTTACGATAGAATTCGTATAGATCTTCGACATATTCAACAACCGCGAGAGAGTTATTTGCATCGTATCCGTCGATATCCAAAATCAGTTCCTTTCCTTCTTCTTCCACTATTATATCCTCCATCTCAACTTCTTCCTCCTATCATCCAAATTGAAAATTTCTTTAGAACTTATACATGAAAAAGCTAAAAACAAATCTTCCAAAATTGATTGTTAATGAATTTACCATTGGATCAGATTCAATGTATGGTTCCTCTAATAACATAGGCATAGGATGGTCCAATGTAGCTTCATCATCAATGAATATACAATCACCAAACTCGTTTCCACTCTGAATCGATGGTTTTAGCTTCTTAATCTCTTCTTGAGATCTGCAGAAATTCAAAAGAATCTCAGATCTAACAAAACCAAACAAAGACAGAGAAACGTTTTTACAAAAAAGTTTGAATCTTTATCTATTACAAACCTTGAAATTGACGAATGTAACGAATCATGTTTCTTCTTCTCACATCCTTCTTCTTGTCGCCTGTTCAGCAAAACAAAATAAAATCAGTAAAATCTCAAAATTTAAGAAACAAAAAGATCAGATTAAGGGTTTTAGTAATTTACTCAGACAAGCCTCTTCTCTTGTTAACAACAACACAAGGATAAGCTTTTGCACTAACGAGATTCTGATTAATTACACCTAATGCTCTTCTGTTCTGTCTCTTCATCTCTATCCCGAATTTTCTGCTTCTTGTTTCATCT